TCACTTTAAAAGTCTATGTTAACAAATATTATTAGGAAGTAGGACTTCATGTATAAATTCAATTAATACTTGTAATTTCTAATGGCTTTATTAGTGTTTGAGTCAGAATAGATATGTAAGTACTTAATGGCCTAAAACATTAAATGGTCAACCACCCATCATTCCATTTTGATTTATTGTTGACATAAGCCCAATAACTTTTGTTACTTTCAGAATGATTTTTTCTGGAAATGCATGTGAATAGTATGGGACAGAGGTGACATGCACTAAATTTTCCCATATCCGTGAATTATTAGTTTCTTTGATTAGAAGTGAAAATGGTGTCTATGGTATATAATTCAATGGACTTCTCAGGGTTATTGTTGAATCATAATTTATTTTATAAATGTCTAGACAGACACATGAAATATAGCTATTGTGTTGGAATAAAAGATAGTTGAAGAATAAATTTAATTTACACCATTTATAGTACAGTAGGTGACTACTAAGTATTAGAATACCACAGCCAGTGTTTTCGACAGTGTTGTGTACGTGTCAACTCAGAACAATCCCTACCAAAACTTAGTACTATTTCAATTTTGAAACTCATGTTTCATCTTAATTGACACATTTCTACTCTTAACAAATGACACTATTTAACTTCATTTTTAGAGAATTACATAGGTGATATTTCCTTCTCTTAAAAACAAGTCTCAATCTTCCGTGTTAGTAAGTAAATAAGTATGTATATTGCACCCTGCATTTAAAACTGTGAGGTAAATAATAATGTTTACAACTTTGTGTAAAGACAGAGCAGTATAAATCTAAGGTATATATTTCTAACACCTGTAGAAAGAAGTTTAAGAGAATAGTTTATGTGATATTAAGGAGATTGAAATCTGTATATAGAGAGAGATTTATGATACTGTTAAGATATTAAAGGTGTAGCATGTCTTTTATCACTCAGGTAAGATACACTTCTGCTTTCACTGTATTTTAAGGTCAAGAAATTGAGATAATGCAGGTTAAGAGGATTGTCTTGTAATTTCATTCATATAAAATAACATAATCATTTAACTACTAGATATATGACATAAGGTCATGATGGATATTTTGAAAAAAAATAAGCTTTGTGATTGGGAGAGATCTGTAAATTTTTGATGATATCAAATATCAGTGCTGAATCATTTTGATAAGATTAGCTTTAACTTTGTGATAAGATCAGAGCTAGAACTTTCTGATGAGATCATGATCAGAGCGAAAACTTTCTGATGAGATCATGGATAAGACAGATGAAACTTTGTGATAAGATCAGTGCAGCTACTTTGTGATTAGATCAGAGCTGACACTTTGTGATCAGATCAAAGCTGAAACTTTGTGATAAGATCAGAGACAGAATTTTTTGATAAGAAAGCTTGTTTTTAGATGAAAGTTTGTGATAGGATTGAAACATTTTGATTATATCAGAGTTGAAATTGTTTTAAAGATCAGAGCTGAAATTTTTTTAACGATCAGAGCTCAAATTGAGTGACAAGATCAGTAGTTGAAACACTGTTATATGTTCAGATCTGCTGCTTTGAGCTAATATTTGACCAGATTTGATAATGCTTTTAGTTAGCTTGCCAGGAGAGATATTACAGTGATCAATATAGGATTAGTATACCAATTCAATTTGGCATTTTTAGCTATGTTGTCTCTTTAAAAGGTAATCTAAGAGTGGATGATATGCAATGATAGCTGTGCTTTATAAATGAAAGACTTCTTAGAGCGAAAAGTGGTAAAGAAATTATCTTGTAGACTTCAAACATTATTTTTGTCTAAATATTTCCAGTTTTTTTAGATGGAAGAGAATATAAACATAAGAATGTTTGTGATGATTTATCTGTGATGGTATTTTGAAATGTAAAAACTAACTGAATAAAATGTAAATATCATTAAGTTTACAATGTTAAAACTATCACACTTTCATATGTCACATTGACATCTTATCAAATACTTTCTCAACTTAATATGTACATCAAGATTATTATCTCTTGTATTTTACCTTGAATTTATTTCATCATCCCATGCTGATTCAAATTACATCATCCCATGCTGATACAAATTACATCATCCCATGCTGATACAGATTACATCTTGCTATGGTGTCTGAAGATCGCATAGCATGAAACTCTGAGTAACAACATGATTCAAGTTTAAATATTTCTCTATCTCTCTACAAGTGATGTTTAGAGCACTATTTTAACAGTGAGAATTTTTTATTATCATCCCATGCTGATACAAATTACATCATCCCATGTTGATTTAAATTACATCATCCCATGCTGATTTAAATTACATCATCCCATGCTGATACAAATTACATCATCCCATGCCGATACAAATTACATCATCCCATGCTGATACAAATTACATCATCCCATGCTGTTTCAAATTACATCATCCCATGCCGATACAAATTATATCATCCCATGCTGTTTCAAATTACATCATCCCACGCCGAAACAAATTACATCATCCCATGCTGATATTCAGAATTCCTGTTAGGTATTCAGTTAGGTTTTACTAGATCATAATAATTTGCATACCCCATTTTCATACCTCACAAGTTTCTGAAACTTAGAGAATGTTCTAGAATGTGATGGAAAATTATTTTAACTAGTTAGTAATTCATTTAAGGATACCAATTATGTATGGTAATTACATGGAAATAACACACAAATGAAATTCACAGGCATATCGATCAAATCTCTTCCTCTTCCTCAAATTTTCAAATCACTTCCAAAGCCATTTCTAAACCTTTAAATGTAATATAAAGGTTGAGTTGTAATATTAAAGCCTTTTTAAGTGAAGGAGGAGATTCAAAATGGGTGTAAACTATTTTCATGTCTGTTATTTCCCTGTTTCATATGACCAATTGGGCTCTTATAATTGAGTTCCTGCTATTGTGTATATGGAATTAGACTTTCTTTAAAGAGGATTAAGAAATTTCTTCAAATTTAATTAAATTTTAATCTTGGATTAAATAAAGGTGTCTAAAATAAGATAGATAATTTGTTTTGATTTCAAAATTAGGGGATTACCAGTTTTAAATCACATTGTCAATAATGTTTGATCTATATCAAGATTTAGATAAATAGTTATATATAGGACAATCTTTAAGTGATAATTGGATTTTAGCTAAACAAATAGATAAAACTTATTGCATCAGACTGGAGATAAATATTTGATTTCCATTACCTAAGAATTGGACTATAAAAATAAAGGACTAGATACCTGTATACAGGATATACAATAGATCTCTAAAAACCAGATGAAAAGATCAATGAATTTGACCACCCATTAATTACCCTCAATGGTCAGTAATAGAAATCAATAATAAACCATATGTCCAGTATTAAAGGATTAATAGATATAAGTAGGGACCTGGTGGATAGTGGTTAGTTTCATCATTTGACCACTCTTTGATACACGTAGTTGGCAACTTTTTGACAGTTTGAATTGATATGCAGATGGAATTTTAAATGAATTTATTTATATTGAAATCTCTTGTTAGTTTATATATTATGTGCTTTTGAGTTTGATTTGATGTCAAATACCAATAGTGTTACAGTACTGAAATCTAAATATGCTGTCCAATGAATATGTACAATTGCTACTTAAGTAAAATATCTGGATTGCTAATCAACATTGTGTACAGTTGGTTCTATATACAACATAGAAACTTTGATACAGTGATTTTTGGAAAGTTGTCAACTAATGGACAGTGATGCTTCATTGACACAAAGAGTGCTGTTTATTAAGTGTATTGAAAACGTAAAAGAATGTTTCACTGGTCTTCAATTTTGTAATGATTGATCCTTTCTACTCTTTGGAATTATCTCAACTTAGACTTCAAAAGTTTTGTGTTGTTAAACCACTTTTTACAGCTGTTCAGCATTCGGATGTAATTTTTCCACATCATATATGTTTCAACCACAAGATTTGTAATTTTTGGTAATTACATGATGTGAGAGTGAAAATTACAATTATGATTTAAAACTGAACATCAAAGAAGATTGGTATTTTCAGATACTGTATGTTATGTAATTGGAAATTTCCACAAGGTTTATATGACTTTCTTTACATTGGCAATACTTGACATTGACAGTAGGATATTTTAAGAAACATCATTAGTCTGACATTAGTGATTGGTTGTGAGATTGTAATTAACTCAATTTAAACACAATTCAATATCCTTGCCAGACCTGATTTCAATGTAGCATGATACCTGTTTTCAAAACGATGTTAGTGTGGTAATTGAATCTAATGTGTATTATTAAAAGTTATAGTGTAGAATAGAGGCTCACAAAAGAGGCTGAAAATGACGCTAGAAGAAAAAATCAAGGTGATAATATTTTTTTTCTCTGTTTAACTTCGGACATGTTTTTAGAAAAAAATATTAGGGTTTCTAATTTTGATTTAAGGAGATGATTTTATGTTCAATTATTGTTTTTGAATTATGCAGGCTACATGCAATGCAAAACTAACATGTATAGTTGACAAACCCAGGTGCAAAGTGATCTAAACTGTTCTTAAGATCTGAGCATTTCATTCCTCTAGTGGCATTCTGATATCGTATCAGATCATGAGTTTCTGGTATTAGAAGGTGTCTATCTGGAAATTCCTAGAATTTGATGAAGTGTTGACAGATTTGATTATACATTTATAACTTTCCTTAATTTCTTTCAAATTCTTGAAAACATGCCAAATGAGATATATCAATGAGTTATGTAAACATATTAATTAACAAATTTATAAAAAAATATAATGGTTTAAAGTTGACGATCAAGGATGGTTTGGCTGTATCAAGGCTGTTGAATTGACCACCAATAAGGCTGGTTGTGGTAACAAATACTGATCCAGCTGTTGAATATGTAACAGATAAAGCTGTTGATTTGGAAAACAGTAATTTGCCATATCAAATATTGCTATTATTATAGATCTAACAATGTGGCTTTTTCAGTACGCATCTTGTATCTCTAAAGCATTTGATTGTGCTGTATCAATAAAGCTGTATGTTGATTTGGCTGTATCAATAAAGCTGAATGTTGATTTGGATATATCAGTAAAGCTGTATGTTGATTTGGCTGTATCAATAAAGCTGAATGTTGATTTGGATATATCAGTAAAGCTGTATGTTGATTTGGCTGTATCAATAAAGCTGAATGTTGATTTGGATATATCAGTAAAGCTGTATGTTGATTTGGCTGTATCAATAAAGCTGAATGTTGATTTGGATATATCAATAAAGCTGTATGTTGATTTGGCTGTATCAATAAAGCTGAATGTTGATTTGGCTGTATCATTAAAGCTGTATGTTGACTTGGCTGTATCAGTAAAGCTGTATGTTGATTTGGATATATCAATAAAGCTGTATGTTGATTTGGATAAATCAATAAAGCTGTTAGTTTATTTTGCTGTTTTAAAACTGTTGATTAGGTTTGCTAGTATATGTCCTGTAATGAAATGATGCTGGTATCTAGAGTACTATATAGTCAATATAATTAGTATGTAATTTGTCAGTAGAATGATTAGTTAGATCTATCAACTATAACTACTATCTACTGGTAATATAATTACCTATACATGCTAATTATTATCATTATTGACTTTTATCTTATTACATTCTCTTTGATATACAATATGTTCTTTTTAGCATGATGATACTGCTCTTTCCTCCACCACCTCACAAAGGATGACTTTGGCATACCACTCATCTGATTGTTCAATCACGAAAATCAATTTTATTTTTATTTTATCAATTCTATCACCATTAAATCTTTAATTTTTGAGAAAAAAGGACATCAGGTACTTGCTTTTAACTTGATGAACCCAGGCAGCTTATAGAGTTTTATCTTATCACATTTTTCTTGGTATCCAAGGTGTTCTTTCAAACATAATATTATGTAGGCAAACTGCTTTTTTTCCTGAGTATGCTAGGTTTTTGTTGTTAATCTGATAATCCCTACTTGTGCAAAGTTGTAAACTTATAGACTTTTATCTTATTACATTCTTCTTTTCATCTGAAATGCAGCGAAGTAAGTTAACACTTATCATTCATTTAAGATAATTGCATCTCAATTGTAAACTGTCAATTTTGATTTGTTTGTGTATTTCAGATGTTAAGTAACATAGCAAATGATTTGGATCTTCTGCTGACAGATATATGTCATTTATATCCCTATCAAGACGGTACAGGTGAAAAAAACTATATTCAATATTCATCAAGTGGCAGTGAAAACATACCAGAGGGACCTGTAGCTTGTTACCATCAAGAAGAAATTAAACATGCTAATCTTGTCAGGTATGCATTAATTTAATTTACTCTGTAAAATTCTTTTGAAAGTGAAGAATTTTAAAACAATCCCATAGATATTTTCAGTTCAGTTTATAAGTTCTTCATGGTTGTTAGATAAATAATGTGTTATTGATGTAAGTATTTGAAGATATGCAAGACATATCTTTATTAAAAAGTTTTCAATTTGAGACACCCAAAGCTTCTATTTCTAATAGTTAGTTTTTTAAATCCTCTATACTTCCAATTAATCACAGCAATCATGGAGATGCATCCTATCAGTCATTTAAACTGAGACTGCTGACAATTTCTGCAGATCCAAATGTCATATTGGGTTAACAGGAAATCAAAAAGTTGCCAATAGAAGCTCTTACAAGCCCTTTACAATCACGAGTATAAGACCATTAATTTAAATGATAGATGGAAACGGGTTGCTTTTCTTCTTGGTAAATACAGCTTGTGCCTTACTTTGCACCAAGAAGGCAATAATAATTGTTAGAAAATGATAATAAACATGTTTAAATACCTGCTAGAATGAGTCTTGATATCAGACATAAAACCTGTATTTTATCTTGTAAATTGATCATATTATCATGCCAACATGAATAAATATCATACTAGTTTTTACATACTGTACAATTAAGATGTTTTTACCTGTACAGACATCATACTTCCTACAATTAACCAGATTCTTCTTGACACCTTCATGATACCTTAACATAATGATTGTCAACTGTCTTTTTTATGCCTTCCAAACATAGTTTTTATACGCCCATATGAATATCGTGGGTGAGCGCTTGAAACCTCGTATGACGATATATGACGCGGAGAAAAACGTAAAAAAAATATTTGTAAGCTTATTTTGTTAAAATCTTTTTTATTATTTTTTTTTACTGCTATACGTGGTTTTTATTCTTTGAAAATTTAAACCTAGTATAACAATTTGAGTACACCAAACTATTCAACCAATAACTAGCAACCAATAATAAATAATAGTACAGTATAAGAGGTTTTCGTATACATTGATAAGATAATGGTGAAGTTTGAATTTGACTATTATTCAATAAATGGTTTTTAAGTTATTGCCCTTGACTTAGTAAAATGGTGTCCGTGCTGACATGGAATAAGTATACAGTTGATGTCCTGTATGCTTGGTATACTGTGTATTGAAAGATTGGTTTATGCTGTTGTCTTGAGAAGCAGAAAAGTAGGACTTGTGTTCAATTCATTAAACGAATTTAAGAATTTTGTTATGGCATAGTTTTGAAATATCTTAGATGTATCTAAGTGTTCCTAGTTCTATTTGAAATCTTTAGATTTCAAAAAGTAAATGTGATTAGAGGAACTTAATTCTTGGCAAATTGTTTCTCATTAGAAATTGGCATAAACATTCTTCAAGTCTGCCAAAATCAAGGGTTAATTACCCAAAATCTTTGGTGTCTAATTGCTCAATAATTAAGGTGAAAAAGTATTGTTTACAGCGAAAACTTCTGGATTTCTAAGCAACAATTACAAAACATAGGCTATATAATTTATTGTGATCTGCCATCTAATTTAAACCATATCATATATTTATAAAATTGATGAACTCTATGGATGTATGTAAGATATGAGATTCTCAGAAAGGGTATGGATTTGCTAATAAACTTAATCAGATTGTCATGATTTCAATACAAAAGAATTTTTTCATTTGAGTAAAGTAAACTAGTTTGAACTGTTGGTAAATTAATTTGGACTGTCAGTGGTTTAGATAAGCCAAATATGATTTATTATTTTACAAATCTTTCTAGTCAAGTTATTATGGAACTAAGATTTCTTGAAATCATAGAAATATCTGCTCCAGGGATTACTTATTTAATTAACTAAGTTTTTGATTTCATGGTGTTTGATAAATTGAATGATGACATAAAGTCATTCAACAATTTTTATCAAACTATGTTACCAAATTACATCAAGAGATATTGCCAAACTCAAAAATTTAATCAAACTATGATATCAAAACTACATCAAAAGGTATTGTCAAACTCAAAAATTTTAATCAAAATATGCTACCAAACTACATCAAATATATTTTATCAAACTAATTCAACATATGTCATATTATCAAACTATATTATCAAACTATATTATTCTATATTATCATTATATTTATACTATTGTAGTTGTGTAAATGAATTGAGTTTAAGTGATAATGAATCAACAAGTGATAGTGGACATGATGAAGATCTTCACCCCAGTATCTCACCTCAACAGGACATGAATTCATTTAATGATACAGGACAGGTAGGTAATATTTTTATAAAACTAATTGTAGCTTACTTTGTTCATATGCCTATCTGTATATATATATATATCACTCTGATGAAGATTTTGTATGGGCAAAACAGGTGTCTTCATCATAAAATTATCTCCAGTCAAGTCACTCTTTGATTAGTTTTGGAGTTTGCTGAAATGCAAGAGAGTAGATAAATGGTTATCACTGAACATGGAAAATGACTCTCATTGTGCTCTTCATAGTACAGCCAATCTTCTTATTAGTCCAATATGATGTTGTACAATATGAAACTCCATTTTTCTTTTTTTAAAACTGTTATCTCTGATTATGGCACCTTTCTGAAAGTCAATTTAATGCAAAATCATTCTTCCTTTGTCATTTATATCCTTTATTTCATAGTTCGTATATTAAAAATCCATAGTGACATACATGTTTTAGTGTTGAATTATCAATACATTGTTATTATAATTAAAGGAAATGATTAATTATGTTATTTTTTCTAATTAATTTCAACTTTGATTTCACCAATTTTGATTATTTATAAAACGTTTGTCATTGCTAATCAAAATTATTGTGTTTGTGCATAAACTATAGATAGCATAGTCTGAATTCAATTGAAATGGTTTTCATGGAATATATTTGATGTTTTCAGAGTCAAATGACACCAAATGATGGATATCGTGAAATAAGCTTGTTAGAAAGATTGTCTAAAACACATTCAATATGGCTGCTATCAAATATAGGAAGAACTGGTGCTGTCCATTTTCTAAAAGACTTGCCTACTGGGGTAAGTATCTATTATAAACCATAATAAATATGTTCCGTGGCCTGCTCTTGCATTATTTCAATTAGAGATTCGCCACTCATGCGAAATACTTGTAACTGTTTCTTGATACATGTTCAGGCTCCTATTTCTTACATTACAATTTCAATTCTATTCTTTATCAAAGTGGCTGACAACTTTTATTTTCAAATTGACTTCTCTTGTGAATCCAGACCCCTCTTTCAAAAAAATGTTGTACTGCAGCTGAAATAAGCAATAAATCATAGGATCTTAGTAATTGTGGGGCTCAACCACAAACAAAATTTGAAAGGCATCTCATTTGTTTAAGAATGCCTTCAGATCCATAGAGTTCAATGATTGGTAATTTTACCACAACACTATTTGTGTTCTCCCTTTCTTCACCCTCTACCATGATAAATCAAAACCAGATAGTGTGTGATAATGCCATTTATTTAAAATGACGAAGGAATGAAAAAATAGCATAATAAACAAACAACAATCAAATAAACAATAAATCATAATGATTTATAAACAATATCATAAACTAGTTGGGCTTAATAAACCTACTATGCGCCAAACACATCACTGGACAAAGTGATGTCTAGCCCAACCCAAACCCTATCACACACAATCTGGGGGACGGAATCATTAATAAGAAGATGCATATATCATGAACAACATTGGCCCCCTCGTCAGACACAAGATATAACAAAAAACAAGATATTAGTAAATGAAAGATAGTTTAACAGATATAACATAATTAAAAAATTACTGCAAACTACGTTGTCAGTACCCTACAATATAAGTTGCAAACTACGTTGTCAGTACCCTACAATATAAGTTGCAAACTACGTTGTCAGTACCCTACAGTATAAGTTGCAAACTACGTTGTCAGTACCCTACAATATAAGTTGCAAACTACGTTGTCAGTACCCTACAGTATAAGTTGCAAACTACGTTGTCAGTACCCTACAGTATAAGTTGCAAACTACGTTGTCAGTACCCTACAGTATAAGTTGCAAACTACGTTGTCAGTACCCTACAGTATAAGTTGCAAACTACGTTGTCAGTACCCTACAGT